TGGCATCCTTTAAAAAAAGGGTGTTATACGGCAAGTGTTATTTACCAAAAAATGACACGATGGTTGGTACAGTGATAAGACTACTGATGTGTTGGGTAGCATATTGATTTTTGATTTTCAACTTTATTTTTGATGAACAACATTTATGGCACACTTTGCTGTGGGAGAATGCCATGTGTGCTGATGTTTGATGCCCACTACAGGTTATATGACTTAACGGGCGCCATTGGACGACTAAAACTTTTCTGTGAGCCTTGTCAGTCACACATGCTTGACTTTCATGTGGCAAGAAACTTGCACACACCATCAAGAAAGCGCCCTCCTGAGTCCTCACGAGGACAGACATCAACAACCTACCCCTTCTCTAAGGCTGCCAGGACTTGCTTTGTGAACTTGAACTGACTTTCTGTCATTCCCTCCTCCTCCTCGTTGGTGATATCAGGGAATTGCACTCCCGCAGGGCAATTTTCATGGGGAACCTGAAAATCCCAAGGTTTGTTGTAAAATGCCAAACAGCCTTTAGAGTTCTTGATGTGGTCTCTCACCACTTCTTTGGAACGGTAACGAATCCTGACCAGTAATTCCTTAACTGAAAGAAGGAAAGATAACAGAAAAAGATTACCCTCAAAGACCCTAGAGTTGTTTGGCTAGAAATGCAGTGTTGAGGTCGAGACCGCTTAAGACTTTCACAAGACCAGCACAAGACCAACACAAGACCAACACAAGACCAACACAAGACCAGCACAAGACCAGCACAAGATCTCCAGTCTGAATTCAAGTCACAAGCTATTCAAATGAACTGCAACAAAAGAATTCCTTTGTCATCGTTCAACCTGTTACTTGTGACTGGTCTTGCGTATGGTCCTGTGCATAGTCTTCTGTCTGGTCTTGTGACGGTCTTGACTACAACACTGTAAAAATGGCTTCCCTGCTAAATATGACAACTTAAAAATATAAGTCCTTTTGAATGCAAAGCCTCAATTTTCTTCCGAGACAAAGTCTGATTAAGGGATGCTATTAGGCTACCAAGGACAACTATGTACCATCTGGTAGCTGAGGAACCTCATCTACTCTTGGCTTCTGTTCCATCTCCTCCTCCCCTTTTGTTTTGACTCCTCCCTTCTTTGGGGAACTCTTGGCAACAGTCTTTACAGCGGCTATGCTCCCACTGACTTGAGTGGAGTCAATAGACATGCTCTCTGATGTGTTGCTCGGCAAGGTGCTGGGTGAAAGGTCCTCCTGGAGCTGTGATTGGTCAATGGTTGCCAAGGAGAACTGCAACAGGTCTGGTTGTTGGGAGATTCCACCAGAGATCATTGCTGATGGGTCCTGGACGGGAACTGTTTGAAGGAGTTCCTCTGTTGATTAAGTTAAGCAATAACCACGAGTGTGGTACTATCTTGGTATTACTGCATCTCTTTGATTCAATCTACAAACTGCCATGTTTCCCACATATGCCCTTGATACCAAGTTCCACAACATCACTTTTGTTTACTTGTTTATCTTCCCAACACACAGCACACTACCTCCTCAATATCTCCTAGCACACTTTGCTTTTACTGAGAAAGCCTCTATTAAAAGAGAGCAGGTTTTGTTCTAGCGGGG